ACTAAAGTAAAGATATGTTTAACACATCTATTAAGTACCCAACCAGGATACTGAGATTTGTAGATCAAGAAGTGGATAATTTTATAAAGGAAAATTTGTTGAAGTTTTGGGGTGGAGAAATTTTAGGTGGTGGTTGTTGTTGTTTTTGGTACCGGGGATTGAACTCAGGACCTTGCACTTTTGAGGCAGGTTGTGGAACCACTGAGCTATGTCCCCGGCCCAAAATTTTAGTTATTAATGGCTAAGTATCACTGTACATGATAGCCTGAATGTTGATACTAGCTTTCACTATATATAGTGAGTGCCTCCTGCCAGCTGCTTCCCTCTCCTATTCTCCATACACATGAAAAGGAAAAAACAATGGAATCCATTGTATGCAGATTTCTCAGAATAAGATAAATAAATTATGGTACTAAGCAGAAGCCCCAAACTTGGATTATTTTTGTAAGACAAAGACAGTAATGCTATCTTTTTCCCCCTGTTCTTTTTACTTAAATAGCAGTTAGCAATCTCCTTCTCTGTATGACTTGAATATATAATAGTTAGGTAGTACTCACATGGATAGCAGAGACCTTGCTTAAGAAAACATGTCAGGGGCCGGGGATTTGGCTCAGTGGTTTCGCCGCCTGCTGCGCAAGCGCAAGGACCCGGGTTCGATCCCCGGTACCAAAAAAAGAAAACATGTCAGAATGTACTCAGAGTATGATTACAATGTAAAGATTACCTTGAAATTAATCTTTAAGATTAAAAAATTTTATGCAAACTTTAGTACTTGTTTATTAGTACCAAATTACTGTAACAGCCTAGTTGAGAAACTCCACTTTTAAAAGAAGCCGTACATGTTTCTTTACATACATTCAGTACATTTAAAGTGTAAATACATAGAGTGTGTATTATTGATTACAATAACTCTGTAAGTTTAGTAAAATGGGTAGAACAATGACAAACTAAAGAGTCCAAAGTCACTTACTAATTGGGAATAGAGCAGAAACTAAATCCTACGTTTCTGGCTTTATGTGCCTATCCATTTTCTTTCAGAGCACATTTCCTCTTTTTCAACTAAAAAGACACTTAACACAAAAAAATAATGTGTAAGCCAAGCCTGGTGGCCAACGCCTGTAATCTCAGCACTGGGGAGGCTGAGGCAGGAGGATCCCTGTGAGTTCGAGGCCAGCCTTGGCTACATAGTGAATTCAGTGCCAGCCTGAACCACCCAGTATCAAAGGTAATAGTAATAATAATAATAATAATAATAAGAAGAAGAAGAAGAAGAAGAAGAAGAAGAAGAAGAAGAAGAAGAAGAGGAGGAGGAAGGTGTGAATTTTCACATATACACATATGAGTGTATGTGTGGCACTGAGCCACTGTTTGAATATCTCAAAACTATCAGCAAATATCTACATCTGTCCTAGAAAAACCATAATTAAAATGAATAGATCTCAAAAAAATAAATAAAATAAAATTAATGGATTTCATATGCCAAAAAAAAGTTTGCTCTAATCTTTATATACCATTGTAATTCTTTTTTCTTTGCTTTTCCCCTCAGTACAGTGAGCCACATCCCTGGCTCCCCTCCCCATTTTAAATTTTCATTTTGACACAAAGTCTGACTAAGTTGCTCAGGCTGGGCTCAAATCTTCAATCTTTTGCCTCAGCCTCCTAAAACGCTGGGATTACAGCCTTGTGCTATTTCTCTAAAATCATTCTGCTTGAATGTTACTGTTAGCACTACTATAAGTTTTTTGTTTTGTTTTGTTTTTTTACAAGCTTTTGAATTCTAAGAGTTGAACTTTTATATCTATTTGTTTTAGTGTTGGGATTTCAGATGCTTTTTGGCATTTTTATAATCATGTTCAAAATGTTTTAATCCTTCCAGCCTCAGTTTTAAAGAACTAAACCCTCCAAGAGAACAGACAAATGTTAGGAGTTCTAGAAAGAAAATGGAACACCATGGTGGCTGATAGAAATGTAAGGAACTCCTTAACCGAAAGTATGACTCAGATCAGTTTTATGCCTTAACAAGATGTGCTTGGTGAAAATATGCTTGTGATAGATATATTGCACAAAAGAAGGCTGCCATTGTTTTGTACGTGTTACTGAGCAATAAAAAAAGAGAACATTTTGTTGGTAATGAATTTTAAGTTACTGGACATGGTGCTTCACACCTGTAATCCTAGCAATCTGGAGGCTGAAGCAGGAGGATCACTGAGTTTGAGGACAGCCTTGAGTACATAAGGAGTTCAAGACCAGCCTAAAATGTGTAGTGAGAACCTGTCTCCAAAAAAAAAAAAAAAAAAAGATGAAATTTGGGGAAACAATACATTAGTTTTATGTCTGCTTTCCTTTTTTGTGGCTGTAAATGATATCAGACATTAAAATTTATCCCACTAATAGACAATGTAGAACTTGGTGCTCATTTTTATTACTATGTAAAAATGGCTTTCAAATTTTTCAACTTTACTTTCATTTATAGAATACTTAAGTATATTTTATAAAAGCATTCTGAAATTTAAACTGCCTCCTGAATAATACCTCCAAAATTTTTGCATTAATAAAATTCTTCTGTTTAAATTTGTGATTCATATACAGTTTTCAAATTTAAGTAATTTCAGGACATTGCAGACATTGTACTGGCTTTGCAGATGTAATTCCTCAAAATAATTCTGTTATAGAACCATGGATTTAGAAGCAGTCTCTGAACATTTAGGAGAACAATAGCTTCAAGTTAAGCATTTTTTCATACTAAGGAGGCAATAGCCATCATTATTGCCTATTTTTTTTTGGTGCTGGGGATCGAACTTGGGACCTTCCACTTGCAAGGCAGGCAGCGGAACCACTAAGCTAAATCCCCAGCCCCACCAATAGCCATCATTATTATTAAGAAAAATATTAATATAAATTTTAATTTAATTGGTAGAAAGAACTTCATCTTGTTTCTTTTGATAGCATTCAACTTTTCCTACAAAGTATTTAATAATCAGTGTAGTTCTGATAGTTGACATAGTATAGCATTGACCCTATATACCTCAAATGCCCCTAGAGATCATTCTTTTATGTCATTCTGGTATCATAAGTGACTAACTGGGCCACTGAAATCATGCAAAATTATTTTTGACTTCTTATTTACTATGACACGGATATTTGTTTGTTACTATGTAAATATCTAAAGCATATAGAAAATTCTCACCAAAATTGAAACTTTAATCTGAGATGATTTAATAAAGTATGAGTTATGTTATGTAAACAAAATTTAGTCTGGGGACCAAAGGAAACTGTTTCACTATACCAAAAAGATTCTTAGAGTCTTGATCAGGGGAGAAATGAGTGTATATTAAGACACGTTAGAAAAAGAAAAGACTCATGTTAAATGTGAGTCTGCAGTCAAAAGCTCCAAGTATGGATCTGCTGAATTAGGGAATTTGATTTGCTATCTATCTCTTTCTCATGTAGCATGCTCCAGAGTGAGCAGCAGAGGAATTTATGCACTTAATGATGGTTAATGATTCTCATGGGTAAGGCTGGGGAGACCAGCTAATATGTAATATATTTAAGAAAGTTCACCAAATGTGATTAGAATCAAAATAGTTTGGGTACCTAATAAATGAAGCTTCATTTACCAGAAAACTGCATTCATCCACAACATTTCATTTCCTGCTAATAGATGAACGGGATTCTTATCATAAAATGTAACATAGAAGTTATTAAAGAAGACTGTTTTGTTACTTTTTTACAGAGGATTATAGGTCAAGTTATATCATCAACTAATTGCAGATCACATCCATGTTATAAAATTGACTTTAATAAAGGCTTATTAGTTTAAGAGACTACTAGTTTTAGTGCCTTTACAAACAGAAGTTTTTGAGGTCAGAGAATATCTCTCAGTCATCTTCATATTATGAACATCTAGATACTTGTGTGACATATAGAATAAATGTTCTGTAAATCTTTTGTTTTGTGTGCATGCATGTGTTTATGTTTCACTTCTGGGGATTGAACCCATGCGTGATAGGCAAGAGGTCTACCACTGAGCTACACCTCCAGTACTGTTCTATGAATTTTTATTTAATGAATGAAGAAACAGTGTTTCATCTTCACATTCTGTTTACAGATCTTCTGCTTATAAGCCACCGTATGTAACTTACCCCCTTACAACATCACAATGGTATTCTTTTTCTCTGGAAAGAGATGCCATCTCATTGATACTCGAGAATAAGACTAAAGTGAAGACTTTGAACTTATCCTCTCTGGTAGCTACTCACACATTTGAAAGGATACCATGTATGTTATTGAATAGTATATTTTAATAGTGACCACAGGGTTAGTATTTTAGAGAATTGGCATCATCTTCATAGTTGTTGTGACAGAAAATCTATTTCTAACCCAAATTTGGCACAATCCCTGAAACCCAGAATAACCACACAGTATTTGTTTAGGGAGTAGACGAAAGATAGAAAGGTTAAAAGAGAGACTTACTCACCTCTTTCCCCACCCTACAATTGTTGGTTGGTTTGTCACAGTGTTTCAGTATGTAGCTCAGGCTAGCATTTAACTGAAGATTCTCCAGTCTCATCTTCTCCAGGACTAGGGTTAGAGGCTTGCAGGTTTTTTGTGTTTTTGTTTTTGTTTTGCTTTGTTTTGGGTTTTTGTAATGAAGTGAGCAGCATACTGACAATAGTAGACATGCTCACAATAGCCAACTGATAAGAGGAAGAAGGAAACTTATCAGTAAAGTTTGAAGAAGGACTGGGGGTTAGCTCAGTGGTAGAGCACTTGCCTAGTATGCAGAAGGCCCAAGGTTAGATCCTCAGCACCACCAGGAAAAAAAAATTTGGAAATTTACAAATATGATCTTTTGAGTCCTGTTACAGTAAAGGCAAGCAGCAGCCACTCACTGATAGAGGTCAGCCCTATAATTACTTAATATTGACTGAATTTATTAACCAGAAGAGATTCGAATTTTCATAATAACTAATTTTTTTTTTTTTTTGACATCAGGGATTGAACTCGGGACCTTGCGCTTGCGAGGCAGGCGGCAGAACCACTGAGCTAAATCCCCAGCCCTTGTAACAACTAATATTATTGAAAGAAAGTTACATTATCTTCATTCGGTAAGGAAAAATAAGAAAATTACCATGCACATTTAGAAAATTCTTTTAGATAGTAGTGGATACACTATACATTTTAATTATCTGGAAAAAAACTCCTTTACTTAAAGCTTCTAATTCCTTGATGGTTACAGATGATTGAAATTTCTTTTCAGCATCATGGGTTCTTCATCTCTTGATGTTTATTTGGCTGTGTGTGTGTTTCTTTTTAGATGCTATGTATTAACTAATGTCTACTTTTGCACATAGCTTGACATTAAATGCTTTTATTAAATGACTTTCCATTATTTTAAAGAACTTGGAGGTCAGTTTGTTTTCTTACTAACAGAATGGGAATGATTACACTTGCAGAGATGTATTGGTTTGAGTAAATGAAATATCTGTTGAGCACAATGCTTGCTACTCCAAAAGAGCTTGGTAAATAGATCAAAAATATTATTAAAGAATTCAAAGAAAGAATTTTGTGTATCTATGGTAGGTTTTATTTTGTCTTCTTCATGTTTTTATTTTTCTAGAAACTTAAAGTCTATGGTTGAAGAACTGGAATAGAGATCAGATATACACAGATGATATATAAATTATTTTTTCAGGTTTTTAACAGGAATTAATGTTCAGTGAACTTTATCCATATGCCTTTTATTTTTTGAAGTTTTTGAGACAGGGTCTTGCTCTATAGCCCAGGCTGGTCTGGAACTTGTGGTGATCTTCTTGTCTCAGCCTTCTGAGTGCTAGGGTTACACACCTGCACTGTCATGCCTGGCTCCATATGGCAATTCTGATATGTAAAACTGAACTCCTTTTTTAAATATTGAAAAAGCATAAAAATCAAATTATATTGCTAAAAAGGAATACTCATACATCTTTTCTCATCTTGCATAACACAAAAATAGCTGACTGCTTTGCTCATAAAAATCATATTTGGAGGATGACTAAGCATAAGACAGTTCTCAAATCTTTGAGAAAGTTACACAGGAGTGAAAGTGACATTTCAGCTGTAATCAGCCTCCTAATCTAACTAATCATACATTATTTTTCAAGATGCTCTGAGTTTTACTAAACTATAAAAATTTATTATGATTTTCTTTAAACCAGAACCTCATAAGGTTGTCTATGATCACCATGTAGTTTTGTCTTTATAGGTACAGCATTTGTACATTTACATAAAATTTAGGAAACTGAAACTTTATCTGAAGAATAACTTAGTAATTTATATAATTATATAATTTATATGTTGTTTATTCATATACTATCCTTGCTCCCTAAAAATAATTGGTTGGTGGTCTGTTTAATAACAACATAGTTCTTTTTAGAAAGTGAGAATATTTGATATCAGTATATCATAGTGTTACTTTTCTTTAAAAAGTCACAATTTGTGTCTCAAAACAATTAATTTAGAAGTATTATGAAGTCACTTATGGGGAAATAAAAAGTTTATTTCTGCCATTTCTTAGGCTCAAAAGTAATTTTATTCATTTCTCAATCTGTTAAAAGTGAGATAGATATATCTATATATAGATAGATAGATAGATAAATATATCTATCTATATATAAAATTTTGTAGGACATGTTTTGACTAACTTTCTCTTGGGGTTACTAAATACCATTTAGGTTATTTCAAAGAACTTGGTATTACATCTTACCTTGCAGCTTTAGGATTTACAAATTGTGCCATGCCAAGTAAATTATTCTCAGAAGAATAATGAGATGTGATTTTCATGTGGATAAACTTACTGGCTTAACATTTCTCCCTTCACTTTATTTTTTTTCTGTGCTTTTCTGCAGAAAACATATGTTTAAATAAAATCATAACTATTTTCAGAAAAAACAAGCATATGATTTAATGTATTTTTAAAAGAAAAATTACCATTAAAAACATATTACATTAGAAAGTTTTATTTGCAAAGAAGGGTAATGAGGGCAGGTATCTCATCTGTTCCTGTGAATTTTTTAAACATTTCCGAAAGATAATATTCTTAAAGAATATTAGAAGTGCCGGGGATTTAGCTCAGTGGTTCTGCTGCCAGCCTCGCAAGCTCAAGGACCCGAGTTCGATCCCTGGTACCAAAAAACAAAACAAAACAAAACAAAAAACCCCGAATATTAGAAGTATGATTTTTTTCTGTTAATGGGCCAGTATCTACCAGTCTTTCAAATAAATTTGATTTTACTTTTTAGCAATGATGCAAAGTTTTAATTTATCTTAACTTTAGATAGATCTGTAGATCAATCATAGATATTCAGGTAGGTGGAAAGATAAAGAAATACACAAATATATACATATATATTTATAAAAATTTGAAATTTCTCTTAAAATAAGGAAGATTCAGTTTTTTCTTTACATAGGTTATGCTTTTTAACCCAATCCTTAACTACCAGTATTTATGGATTATATTTTTGTATACATTTTGATAATGCAGAACTCTCGTGCTTTTTATTCTGGTATTCATTACCCAACACACACTTCTCCAAAATTATACATAAAAACCAGAAACCACATAAGACTTCTAGCAATTTACTCTATTTCCTTCTCCTAAATAAAAGCTTTAGAATATTATTTCCCCATTCCATTCTCCCTCCTACCTGAGACCTGGAGGATGCCTTTACTTTCTCCACCCTCTTTTAACTCCACAGTTTTGCTGAGGCATTCAATACTTTTAGTTCTAGGTTTATTAGCCTTTTCCCTTATCATATATCTCTTTCTATTTTAAGAATCCTTACTTAGCCATAATATTACAAATACCCAGACAGTCAGTCATTATTCCTTTGCTTTTAGTTTTAACACATGAATTTCCAGCCTTTTGGCTCCAATCCACTGGAAGCTCCCTAGGTTTTAGGACTCTGTTTGTTTTCTTATTATTATTGATTCCCTTGAATGTGTCACTATTTTTATAATCATCATCATATTTTCATTTGCCTAATTTGAGTAATGAAAGGAGGCTTAGGATTCTTTGTTCTATGACCTAAATATTCCAGTGGGCAAGTTTCTTCACAATTTCTTGGGGCAAGAAAATGATTATTTGGGTTAAAGTTCTGAGGGATTGAAAGCACCTCTGACTGACTTTGTCCTCCACAAACACCAGCCAAACCTCCTAGAATCACACACATGGGATGGGACTTCCTTTCACCAAAGGTAAAGAACTCTCAGGACATTAGGTTTTAGTAATACTGTCAAGACCCTCAACCACTGCTCCTCCACTGCCTGATCCTTCTCAAATCCAACTTATTCCATAGCCTTGTGCATTTTTGGAGCTATCTGATCACCAGCCCATGTTCATCTTAAGGAGGAGTATCACAATTAGGAAATGAAGTCATTAGAAACAGCCTCAAGTGTCCATTTTCCCAGCAAGTTAAATGGAATAAAATTGATTAATTTTCAGAGCTTTTTTCAGAGAACTTACAGAATCATGTTTTTACATGTATTTTGTAATATCCTCTTTTATAAATAAAGAACTGAGACGAAGAACTGCATTTTGTATTTCTGTATATTCATATTTAATTTATAATCTGAGAGTCAAGAGGAGATATAGTCCTAGGTAAGTTATAAATTGTAAGAAGGGAAGTAGAAATTTTGGCTAAAAAAAGAAAATTTTCAGGATATTTGCTATTAGGAAGTTTGAAAATAGACAAATTAAGCAGGGTCTGATGAGACAGTTGTCCCCCTCTGGATGCATTTATTGTGGCCATCATTAATGATTTGGAATCTCTGGAAAAAATCTTTGGTCTTGTAGCTGTTTTATTTAATATCTCACTTACTAAAACAAATGCTGTATTCAACAAATAACTTGATTAAAACATGAGGGTTCATCAGTAGCCAAAGCAGTAGCTAGCTCTACTTAGATATCTTACTTAGAAAATTCAAAATATAAGCAGCCTCTCCAGTTCATTGAACCCAAACCTTCTTATTGAGTCTATGTATACACAATGATTAGAGCCTTGAAACTGTTCTTAATTTCCTTTAATCTCTTTGCTCATGCTCCCTAAATCCTTTTTTCATCTAACAAGACTGTTTCTCCTTTCTTACTTAATATACAGCCTTTGTTATATACATTTTCAATTGCAAAATACGTTCTTCCAACTAATTTTGAACCCATCATTATCAACCATTATTTCTCAATTTTAATCTGTGCTCCCTACAAGTTGGGCCACTCTGTTGTTCTCAACATTGCCCTAATACTCCTTCCTTTTTTCCTTTTAGAGTTTTATTTCCTCCTCATGTAGCGTCCTCCTTTTTCATCTTTGCCAGTTAAAATTGTACCCATCCTTCAAGGTCCATTCTAAAACTCCACCTCATAGGACATGATTGATGACATGTATCTGTGCAACCCTGTGCCATGATTTCTGCCCTTCCTTGGCTTGGCAGCCTTCAACATACCCTTTTTGCTTTAAGCAGCTTTAAGGTTAAGCTTCTATTCAATGTTAATGACTGAATGGTTGTGGTAAAACCTAAGCTCTGGAGTTGTAAAACTAAGTCCATAGCCCACATTATCAATTAGTAAATATTATTCTTCCTGTAAAAGTATTTTCCTTAAGGTAATTAAACTACCAGTGCAAGAGAGGCCCTTAGAATGGGGATTTAGCTCAGTGGTTCTGCCATCTGCCTTGCAAGCGCAAGGCCCCAAGTTCGATCCCCGGTACCAAAAAGAAAAAAAAGAGAGGCCCTTAGAGATTATCTACTGTAACATGTTTATTGAATATCAGAGAAAACTGAGACCCAAAGAAGTTAAAGAATTTGCCCAGGTTCAAGAACTGAATGTGGACTAGAACCCAGATTATTTTATTCCCATTTCAGTGCTCTTTTCAACAGCACTATATTAGACTTGGGACTTAAATATTACCCTGTAGGCATTGTATCTATCTGCATATAATAAAAATGGATTTTTTTCTTTGAATTTTAGAAAACAAATGCATTTTTTTACAAAACTAAATTGAAAGCACCAAATGCTGCTAATAATTTTAGTACTAATTTAAAAATGTAACGATACAGGTTGATTTAAACAAAAGCA